AGGGTCCAGTCGTGATTTTTGGCGATGTTGCATTTTTGTTTTGCAGCGTCGGGTCTCAGGGGGCCACTCCTGTCCAGGGTCGCTGTTGCGTGCGGCCCGTGGGGCCCCATCGCGATTGCTCGCGCCAGGTGCGTGGATCCCCCTAAGCAGCGAATGCTGCAAGGGTTCCACTTGCATTTCAAGAACTGGTCTTTAGGAGCACGAGAAGTCAGCCGCCTGCGTGCCGTGCCGTGCCGTGCCCAGGTTCTCGAGCGCGAGCAATGTGCAGTGTCGTGCCGTGTCCGCGTGTCGTGCCGTGCCAAGGTTCTTAGATCGCGAGAGAAGTGCCGTGCCGTGCCGTGCCGCGTGCCGTGCCCGCGTGCCGGGCCGTGCCGTGATGTGTCCCTTGCGGCGCCGACCGCCCACATCAAGCACGCTTTGTTTGATGTTGATTCGACATGCGTGTTCTCACGCAGCGTTGCTATGTCGTGTTTCTCAAGCGATCGTTGTTTTTTGTTTTCATTGTTTGGCCGATCGGCGCGGACCTTCGCGCCCCCACCCCCCTCCACACTGAAGTGGGTCCTGGCTGTTCTTTGGGGCCTGTTCCGAGCAGGTGGAGCTTCCTCCATAGGACGCACAGCTGCAAACACTCGCAGTAAGCAGAGGTCCAGAGCCAGACCCCGCCCCCTCCCCGCCTCCTTCCGCCCAATGTCGAAACGCAGAATCAGAAAACGTTCACCAATACGGTGTAAGCGGTGTGTATGACGTTTTTGGTTTGATTCGTTTCTCGCGGGCACGGGCACGAGCCGCGTGCCCCCTGATGGCCGGCGGCGTCTGAAGGGCCACCCCTCTCGCGGGAGGAGGGGCGAGGAGGAAGCGACGGGCGAAGGACTGCATCCAGTTTTCCACCATGGGGGGCGCCTGTCCCAGGTCGGCCAGAGTCATTGTACTCGGTATCGTCTAGCTGACCTTTGTACCGCATCCCCATCCCATCCAGACCCCCCCCCGTTGGGGATGTACCATTATCTTTCTCTCTCTCTCTCTCTCGCTCTCTCTCTCTCTCTCTCGTCACATCCCGCAGAAGTGACTGGTCTGTGGGTCAACGCTCTCAGGGATGCTTCTTGGGGTCTCCTCCGAGTGCTCTCGGGCGCCTCTTGGGCAGTTTTGGTGCCTCTCGGGGGCCTCTTTGGGGCCTCTTGGGGACCAGGGCCTCTTGGGGACTAGGGCCTCTTGGGGGCCTCGTGGGGCCTCGTGGGGACCTCTTGGGGGCCTCTTGGGGCTTCTTGGGGGCCCCTCGGAGCCGAGAGCTTGAAATGTCCGTTCGTCTCCCCCCAGTTGGGCCCCCTCTTGGAGCCGCCTCTGGGGCCTTTTGGACAGTCTTGGGCCTCTTGGGCCGTCTTGGGGCCCTTGTGGGCCGTCTTGTGGCGATCTTGGGGGCGTCGTGAAGCCGAAATGGCAAGAATGCCAAAAACATTCAACATTACCGGACAGTCAATGGTTCTGGCTTCTTGTGGCCCTCTTCGGAGTGCTCTTGGAGGCCTCTTGTGACGTCTTGGATGTCTCTTGGGTCGTCTTCGGACCATCTTGGGCATCTTGTGCCGATCGTTCGGCGACTCGTGTCCCTCTTGGGCAGTGCAGATTTCGCGGCCTCTTGTAGCCCCTGGGTCCGTCTTGTGACCCTCTCGCAGGGATTTGGCAATCTTGGGTCCGGGCCACTTACGGGCTGTTCAGGAGTGATGGTTGAGGCTTAGAAGATTCGGCAAGGGCCTGAGGGCACGGTGGCGGAAATGTGTGTATACATATGTTTAAATATGTTATACATATGTACGTGTGAGTGTAAATGTATATGTATGTGTATATGTATATGTATATGTGGACTCTCGGATGTCCGCGCGGCGTTCCTGGATCGGCGCTGGGACCCCCCTTTCCTGGCGCGCGGAGGGTCCTGTCCTGCGCCAGGGGCGGCGCAGGAGGCGCCGCAGGGGGTCCTAGCGCTGGTCCAAGAAGTCCGCGCGGACCCCCGACGGTTCATACTAATGTAGCTCTTTCTCTCGGTTCCCGGAGCAGCTTGCCTGTAAGGGCTCCATCAGATTCTTCTAACGCCCAGCGGGGAGGCCCTGGGCCCCGAAGTCGATGGCCCATCGTGGCCCCCCCGCTGTGACCCCAATAGGCTGCACATGTTCTTCTGCCGCGTAGCGGTCTCGCACTCCCTCCCGCACCCCGCCTGCCGAGCACACTCCTCTCACGCATCCCGGGCCCCATGCTGCCGTTGAGCTCCCCCTTGGCCCTGGAGCTGACTCCCGAGAATTCTTCGCTCCACGCCGAGAACTCGGATCTCGCATGCGCTCACGCGCGCCCGCTTCGACACACAGACACACATACACACCACACACCACGCACCACACACTACACACCACACACCACACACCATACAGCACACACCAACACCTACACCTACACCCGCACCCACACCCACACCCACACCCACACCGACACCCACACCCACACCCACACTGACACCCACACCCACAAAAGCACACCCACATAGACACCCACACCAACACCCACACTCACCAACACCCACACTCACACCCAAACCCACACCCACCCACACCCACACCCATACCCAAACCCACACAAGCACACGCATATCCACACCTACACCCATACCCACACCCACCCAAACACCGACACCCACATCCACACGCACACCCACACACGCACACGCACAAGCTCACGCACACACTCACACGTACATACGCACACGCACACGCAACTCCACACCCACACCCACACGCACACGCACACCCACACAAGCACACGCACACGCACACGCACACGCACACGCACACGCACGCACACGCACACGCACACGCACACACACACACAAACACACACACACACACACACAGCACCAGCACCACACACCACACACCGCACACCACACACCACACACCGCACACCACACACCAGACACCACACACCACACACGCACACCCACACCCACACACGCACACGCACAAGCACACGCACACGCTCACCCACACCCACACCCGCACGCTCACACGTACACACGCACACGCACACGCACGTGCACGCGCACGCGCACGCGCACACGCACACCCATTCGCACACGCACACGCCCAGCACACACACAAACACACACACACACACACGCGCGCTCATGCACACGCACACTCACACTCGACCCACGCGCAACCCACACTGACACCCACACGCACACGCACATCCACACCCACGCCCACACCCACACCCACACCCAGACCCACGCACACGCACATGCACACGCACACGCACACTCACACACACACCCCCATCACACACACCACACACCACAAACTACACACCACACACACTACACAGCACACACCACACACCAAACCATACACCACACACCGCACACCACACACACACACACACACCACACAGCATACCCACAACCGCACCCACACCTACACCCCCTCCCCCCCCCCGACACACACACACATCCACACCCATACCCACACCCAGGCACACGCACACGTTCACGCACACGCACACGCACACGCACATGCACACGCACGCACACACGCAAACACCACACCCCCACACCAACGCACACCCACACCCACACGCACACACACACACACACGCACGCGCACGCGCACACGTACATACACGCACACACACACACACACGCACACCCACATCCACATCCATACACCGACACCCACGCACTCGCACACGCACCCCCACACACCCACCACACACCACACACCACACACCACACACCACACACTTCCTCCCCCATCCACACCCACACCCTCACCCACACCCTCACCCACACCCACACCTACACCCTCAAACACACGCACACGCACACGCACACGCACACCCGCTCTCGCACCCACACCCACCCACCCACACCGACACCCACACCCACACCCTCAGCCACACCCACGCACACGCACACGCACGCTCACACGCACACGCACACGCACACGCACGCGCATACGCACACGAAGCACGCACGTCCACGCCCACACGAACACGCACACGCACACGCAAACGCACGCGCTCACGCACACGAACACGCACACGCACACGCACCCACGCCCACCCACCCACCCCAAGCCCGCACGTACGCACACGCGCACGTGACGCACACGCACACGCACACGCACACGCACGCCGCGCACGCGCACACGCACGCGCACAAGCGCACAAGCGCACAAGCGCACACGCGCACGCGCACGCACACGCACACAAAAAACGCACACGCACACGCGCATACGCACACGCACACGCACACGCACCCCCACACACCCGCACGCACACGCACACCCACCCCACGCGCACACACGCACACGCGCACGCGCACGCGCACGCACACGCACACGAAAAAAACGCACGCGCACGCGCACGCGCACGCGCACACGCACACGCACGCGCATGCGCACACGCACGCGCACGCGCACGCGCACGCGCACACGCGCGCGCACGCGCACGCCGCGCACATTCACGCACACGCACTCGCACTCGCACACGCACACACACACACACACACACACACGCACACACACACGCACACCCCTCACTTCGTGGCCAGTTGGTCCAATTCAGCGAGGGCGTCAGCGGGTTTGCGCCAGGATGATGAACACCGAGCGTGTGCTGACTGGAGGGCAGCCGAAAATGGGCTGCGCGTGTAGAAACAGTGTTCACGACAGCGAGGCGCATGCAGCGACGCCAGCGGCCCGCTTAGGGGCAGCATGTGGCGGCGGCAGCTGGCGCATGGAGTGATACACCAGCGCCAGCGCCCAGGAGGGACGCCCTGGAAGAGCACAGCAGGAGAGGCAGAGGAGGATCCGACACACGGACACACGCACGGGCACAAGAAATCTGCAAGGCCTCCCGACAGTTCACGTTTATGCCGTGCATTCTTCTTCCAGGGGACCTCGGACCTCGGCGCCCGGTGAGCGCGGGAGCGTGGGAGGGACGGCCCAAGTCCCAGCCCCCCGCAGGACTCCGTCGGGACGTTCCTCGAGGCCCTCCGCGCGGGCTACGGCGCGAAGTGGGGCCCCGTCTTCGAGGGCTCCTCCGGCGGGCAGGGGGCAGGGAGCCTTCCGTGCCCTCAAGTGGCCCTAGAGAGGGCCCCTGGGGGCCCAACGGGGGCACGAAAGGTGTACGTTTCTCCCCCCCTCAATTATTTAGGACCCCCAGATGGGGTCGGAGTAGACGGGATCGGGGGATCGCGCCGCATCGCCGATGCATCGCCGATGCGGCTCGATGCGGAGGCCGATTTTCTCCACGCTGGCGTCGCCGATGCATCGCCGATGTCCCCGATGCATCGCCGATGCATCGCTGATGTATCGGCGATGAGGCGCGATTCTCCAACTCCAACTGCTCGGACCCGATCTAGGAGGCCTGTAATTTATCGGCCCCCCGTTTTTGAAGCAACGCCCAGGGGGGAGCTGGCTGGTTGTTTGAGGTGGCCGAGCACTGGTTCCGGCGAGCAGGAAGCGATGCGATTCGCTCTGTGGCGCTGCGTCGAATTCGATGGCTTCCAGCGGCCTCCCACGGAGCAACAACACATGCGCACTCGACGGGGGCGGCTCGGGGTGGTTTCTTCGGGGGGTTCCCCGTCCCCCCAACTAAAGCTTGGTGGGTGTTTATGTGCTCCATCCTGGAAGCTCTTTTGAACATACACTCGTGTCTTTTTGTGCCTTTTAGTGTCTTCGAGTGCCTTTTAGTGCTCTTTTCAGTGTCTTCTAGTGCCTTGGGCGACGACAGCGGCGGAAGGGCGGACAGGGAGGGGGGAGAGGAGGAAACCGGTAAAGAGCAGCAGCAGGAGCAAGAGGAGGGATGAACGGGGGGGAGGAAGGGGGCTATCTTGCGCACGTGCAACAACCAAGGCAGTAAAAGGCACTAGAAGGCATTTGAATATCACTAAAAGGCACTCGAAGACAGAAAAAGGCACAACAAGACGAGTGTATTTTTAAGAAGAGCTTCCATGATCGAGCACATAAGAGTGTAAGTGTTTTTGTTGGGGGCGGGGTCCCTGGAAAACGCTCTTAACACAGAAACGAGACAGAGTTTGGGGGGTCTTTCGAGGCGTCCAGGGCCCGCCCCCCCCAAAAAAAAACGTGAACGGGATGTGGTAGTTTTTTTTCCATCGGGGTCCACCCTGATTTTCGGAGGGTTCTTGAAACCTCCCGAAGAAACATGTTCCCAGGGGCTCCAAATCATGGTCGGGGGTTTGCGTTCTTGTTAATTGCGTATGTGCGTGTGTGGCACGAAGCGCGCGAGTTGTTTGTGTGTATGTGTGGTGTGTGTATCCCGGCCGCGCATGCTAGTTCCGTTCCGCTCTGCTCGACTTGCCTCGCTTGGTCGCTGCGCGCGAGGCCGCGATCGCCAAAAGTGTGTGTGTGTGTGTGAGACAGAGAGAGGGTGTGTGTGTGCGCGTGTGTGTATGTGTGTGCGTGTGTGTATGTGTGTATGTGTGTGGGTGTGAGAGAGGCTGTGAGACTATGCGATCATTGAGGGCCCGGCCGCGTCCCTGCACTGAGTACTGTCGCCGACTACGCCTCGTCGCCGCGCGCGAGGCCTCTTCCGCCAAGATGTGCGTGCGTGCGCGTGCGAATTGGGACGAAATCGCCCGCTATGAAATAATTACGACCTGTCCTGGCCCTGGCCTCGCCCGCCCAAGGTTTCGGCCTGGAGCTGGTGGAGGACCTGCTGGAGGCGCGCGCCTGGGGTGCGTAAAACGACGCGAAGATCGGGACAAAATCGGATCGGGATAATTCGAAATCTCTGAGAATCGGCGGGTTTGGAGGATGTATTGGGCGCCGCGGCCGCTCCAGAGCGTTCCAGAACGCTCTGAGAGCGCTCCAGAACGCTCTGGAGCGATTTATCCCGATCCTAGCCCTGGTTTAGTGCGGGGGCACGCCCGCGGGCGCGCCTCCGCTTGCTGCTCTGGGCGAGGGGCAGGGCCGGGAGGGCCGAGGACCCGCCAGGCAGTCGCGACGAGCGGAGTGGACTCGGGAAGAGATCGGAGGAGAAGGTGCCCATGACGCCACCCTTGCCTCGTTTTCGCCCTTTTGGGGCCTCCTGGAAGCCCTGTGTCGCCACCGCTGGATTCGCTTCGAAATTCAAGTCGGGACGCACCCCGGGAGAGGTCCGGGGAGCAGCTGTACTGGCACCTTTTGGCTGGTTTCCCTCAGATAGGGGACGGAGCCTGGCAGCAGTTCCTGCCCGTTCTCAATAGGGATCACTGTCGGTGCCACCGCGGACGTTGTTCGTTTGAGACGGACTGCGGGATGCGTAACATCGGGGCTCCCGTGATGGGGGTCAGCGCTAGCGGGGCTCGGCCATTTCTCTGGCTGGCCCGGGACTGGAAGCCATGTGAGGATGCTCCCCCCTCTCTGCCCGCCGCCGACCCGGGTTTGGGTGCTACTCAGCGGCTGGCTGGGCTTCGCGACAGGGCCCTGGCCGAGGCGACTCGGTGTGCTCCCAGTGCCAGCGCCCGCCATCAGTTTGGGGCAGCATGTGCTGTTGGGCATCGCACCAAATTTGCAGCACCCACTTCGGGCGTCCAAGCACAGTTACGGTCGGGCCGAGGTATAAGATCGAGGTCGGTTCGACGAGGGTACCCTGAGGTTCTTCGTATTTGTTGGATGTTCTTGTGCATTCTGGGGAGGTACCCTTGGATGTTCTGTGTGTGTCTCGCCGGCGGAGGGTATCATGTTCTTAAAAGATCTGTTTCTGTCCTTGGTCTTGCTTTATACGCACAGCCTCCCCCACAGGATTGCTTTTTGTTGCCCCAGGGAAGGGTGGCGCATGGAAGTGCGGCGGTGTATCAGTCACCACGAAGTGCCAGCGGCTTTTTGCGACAAGGTGCGCCTGGGTCATAGGATGCGCCAGCGGGCGTCCGTGTGTAGATTTGCGTTGCGCAGGGGGGGTAACTGCGCGGGGGGGGGGGGGGGGCGAGACCAGCGGGGAAGAGACAGCCGACAGCTCCGGACTCCTGGCGCCGTGATTTGTTCCGCATCGTGGGCCCCCAGAGAGGTCTCGCCTTCTGTTCCTTGGGGACTAGCTCGTCATCCCGAATGTCGCTTTCAACGACCTTGGGGCCCAGTAGTGACTGACCCCTGGAGGCCGAGAACTGTCGAGCATTCACATCCCTCTTTTTGACCACTCGAGGGGGGGAACATGCAGACATGAACGAACAACATAAACACCCACTTTGGGAGGCCCGCGCAGATTTCTTGTTTTGGCGCCATACGGGAATCCTTGTGTTCGATGACCCTGCTGGCGACGATGTGGCTGAGGCGGGGGTCGAAACGAGCTGGGACGATGATTCTCAGCAGACTAAGCACACCATACAGTCAAGACGTTGCCATCAGGTCCTTCGGAGAGGACCCTGGTTTTCGGGCCTTTCCGTAGATCCATGTCGGGGAACCTAGTCGTGGCCTTTGCCCATAATTGCCAGGAAGTCTCCTCGTCCCTCATCTGGCGCTCACTATGGTAGCACGATGGCTGCACCCTGCGTTTCATGCCAAGCGTGGATGTGCACCCAGGCACGCTACGCCGGCGCACGCCTCGCCACGCCAGCGCACCGCTTGGGGGGCTGGAGCGCTCTCGTGGCGCAGCGCTTGCCGGCGAGGGGGAACGGCTCGGAGTCGCATCGGCGGGGATGGCGCCCCCTCGGCGTGCATCTCCCAGTGATCAGGAGTTGCTCCCAACCCGCCTTTAACTTCGTTCCCGGGGTAAAAACGAGTACCCCCCCTTAACCCTTGAGTGGTTATTATCCCCGGGTCAGACAGATTTGATTGTGGAGAGGGGCGGAGAGGCCGAATTTGATTATCGCGGGGGCAGCTTGCGAATCGAAATTGCTATCTTCTTATTTTGACTAGCAACATCATCAAAAACGCTGAGCATGGCAATGGAGGTCTCACCCTTTCATGTTTTGCAAGTCACGAGCGTGTGGCAGGGCTATGAGGGTCTCACCATTTCAGCTTTCCCAAGTCACGAACGTGCGGCAGGGCCATGGAAGTCTTGATTTCTCAGCCTTCCTCGTTTTCTCAGCCTTTACACGAGCGCCCAGGATCATCATCATCATCATCATCATCATCATCATCATCAGCAGCAGCAGCAGCAGCATCATAATCACAATAATCATCATCACCATCATCATCAGCATCATCATCATCATCATCATCATCACCATAATCATCATCATCAGCATCATCATCGTGATCATCATCATCATCATCATCACCATCACCATCACCATCTTCAGCTTCATCTTCATCTTCATCTCCATCATCCTCCGCCGGGAAAAAACGTTTATTACCCCCCATACCCCGAATCCCAGTGGTTTATCATCAGGGGTATGGGGTTAAATGTTTCTGGGGGCATTCCAGTTCCTGTCCTGTCGTTGACTGTCTGCTCTTGCACTCCGACGTGGGCTCGACGCGGAGTCGCTGCTCTCGATATGGAGTCGACATGGATGCGACACGGACGGTTGTCGCGATGCGACAGGCAAGGCCCTCCAACTATGCAACATAACGCAGCGCCGCGCGCCACCTCACCTCCTCTGCTCTCTCTCCCTCTCTTCCTCGCCGTCCTCCTTGCTTGTTCTGCTGCTTCTGCTGCGCTCCCTTCGGCGTAACCCTCACGCGGATCGAGCCCCATGCTGGGGAGCTCGACCTATAGCCCAGTGAGGGAACTCGCATGGTGTCCTTGTGACCACTTCGGCCCACCCCTCGCGAGGATCGTGCCCGCATGGGGAGCTCCACCCATGGCCCCAGTGGGCGGCGCGTCCCCGCGCACACGTCGGCGCAGCCCTCACGAGGATCCTGGCCCCACAGAGAGGTCCACCCATGCCTCAGTGGGCGCCTCTGGATGGCTCACCCGCGCTCGCTTCGCACACCCCTCACAGGTTTGTGGCCGCGGGAGCTCAAATTCTGTCCATACCGCGGCGCGCAGGACACGAGGAGAGGGCCATGCACTTCGCTGCACGCAGCTGCATAGGCGTGTGCCCTTCCCCAGGCTAGCTTTTTGTCTTGCTCCACGGCGCTAGAGTTCCCGACCCCCTTTCCAAGGGCAGTTGTTTCATCCTAGTTCTGTGCTCGACGTTTCCGAATGCATCCCCAGAGTCCGAAATTGAGAAGTGACATCAATACGTTCTTTGGAGTTCTGGGCGCGAAACTTGGGGCAACGGCGCTCGGAGGATCCTAAACAGTGTCGGGACCACACCGCGTGGTAAATCAGGGGGTCTCGAGCGATTGGGGCCTCCGAGGTCCGAGGACCGTGCGGTGACGGACTGCGCGGTGAGGTCTCTTGGGATTCCAAGGTCACCGCGCGGTCCGTCACCAGACGGTCCCTCGGGCACCGAACAGGACACGGCATGAATTGCCAGAGGCCCGCGCCGAGCTCTTGGCCGAGCCCAGCAAGCCCGCGAGCGGGAGGCGCCCTCCGTTGCGCACTCACTCGGGCGCTTCCCTTGGGCTCCCGCGGCTGCCACTTGGGACGCCTCTCTCTCGTCCCCGCCGTCGCTCATGGGCCCCTTTCTCGGGATCTTCGATCCTCCTCCGCCTTTCGCCCGAGGATCGCCCCTTCCTTATCTCGATCCCTCTTCTCGAAGGAGAGGACACTGCATAAAGATCACACTCTCTGGGAGCTACTCCATGGGAGACCCCCGAAACTACTCCCTGGGAGCGCCCAGGCAGGAGGCGCGCGACGGGGAGGACTTCGCCTACTGCCGACCATCCTCCAGCAGGGTGCAACTGTAGGGGGCCTTCTCCTACGCGGCGTTCGAGCACGACCGCGGGAACACGGTCACCAAAGTGCTCGGCCACGCGACGGACGCCGATATGGATGCAGGCAGGTCCACCCATTGGCAGAAGGCGGGCAATCGGCTTGCCGACCTCCACGCGAAGAACGGCGCCCACTTGGTGCTCTCCGACCACCACCTCGACGTTGCCTGCAGCTTCGAAACGGTTGCCAAGGCGGCGAAGCTGCACACGGGTAAGCTACACCCTCACGTGGGACCCCACACAATCAGGGACCACGCAGCGGACATTGCGGCTGCCGCAGGTGAAGCCGGCAGCCTCGACGGAGAAGGGCCCACTACAGCACCAACCGTCAGCGGCCTGCCGAGGCGACGGCAGCAGATGCAGCCCGCCCAACCAGCAGCCAGCAGTGAGGACGGCGTCAAATTATGGGGCCTAAAGAGTCCACGTGGTGTTCTAGCGGCGCGTCATCGCAGGCCAAGGGTGCCCTGCACGCCTGCCCGACTCGGGGCTCGTCTACCAGAGGTGCTGCTGCTACGGGCACAGCAGGCCCGCCAGGTCTTCCTCCTTGAGCGGCGCGGCGACAGCGGCAGTGCCACTGTCAGTCCCAGGAAGGACGCGTTCAACACGGGCGCGTGGCCAGACGTTCGCACGGCAGCGAAGAGGACATGCTGACTCGGGAGGCCACAGACGCCGAGACGGGGCTGGCAGGACACCCGCCACAGCCTCGACGGCAAGAGGAGGGAGGCTGCCCGGGCAGCTTGCGACCGCGACGGCGGGGCAGGCTCCAGAGGCGAGGCAACTGCGGCGGCGGCCTCCCCTGTTACGACGGGGCCAGCGTGCATAGCGGTTTCACCTGCCCCAGCTCCAGCACCGAGCCCGCCGGCACCTACACCTTCGAGGCATGGGCTGTCGCCTACGGTCGCGTTTGCAGATGCCGCATCCCGCTCGAAGGGGTAGAGGGGTTCCACCGGTGGGCGCAGGAGCGCTGCCAGGCCTACGGAGAGAAAGGGCGGCCCCGACGGCCGGGGCCAGCAGGGAGACCAGCGGCGGTGAGCACCTCTAAGCGCGAGCCAGAGTTCATCATTTCCCAGCGCTCGGCTCGCGTGCGCCCACCTGGCCGTCGGCACTGGCCGGGGGCTCGAGCATGGAAGGCCTGTTGTCTGGACGCCCGATAGGGGTACGGAGAGAATGGGCACAATGCCTAACAGCAGTTCCTGCTCGTTTTGAACAGGACTCGCTGTCGGGGCCGCCGCGGCCTGTGTCCGTTTGAGACAGAAGGCCGCCTGCCCAACAGCGGCCGCTGTTGGTTTGGGACAACATGTTTTACCAGTTTTTTCCGTACCCATTTCGGGCGTCCAAACGGAGTTGGCCACAGGCGTGTCCTGACCCCCCCCTTTGGTGGAGTTGCCCGCAACCCGTGGGTACTCCTGGGGAGGCTGCTTGGATGCTCTCGAAGCTTCCCATGGGACATGTATTGGAGGCGCCCGAGGCTACTCTCTGGCATGCTTCCTGAAGCTCTTGGAGCAAGCTCTAAAGGGACCTAACAGCAGTGCAAAACCAGCAACGAGCAATCTCAGCTCTTCAAGCCCCGATCCGCCAACCCCGATCCTCAGGCCGTCTCGTGGGGTGGGAGCGGCTGCGGCGCCGAAGACGCACGCCTGCGCAACTGCACCAGTCCTGGCCGGGCTCATCCTGGGTCCAGGATCGGTGTACCCTCGTTCCCCTTGTGGCCCGGGCAGAGAGGCATGCAGTCGAACGAGAGCGTGGGTCAAGAACAGGAGCCCCTCTGTCCTCGATCGCCGATCCTCGTTTGTTTGAACCTGCAGACCCCGATCCTCGGTCCTCGCTCCTGGAGCCGCGAGCCTCGATCCTCGTCGTGCTCGTCGTCGGCCCGCCTCTGCCGACGCAGCAGGCGCCCGCCGACGAGCTCGCGCAGCTGGAGGACCGGCTGGCGGCCGCCGGCGCCGGCCGCGCCCTCGGCGCCTGCCTCGCGCGATCGCGCTGCCTCGGGCGCGGTCGTCGCCGTCGCGCCGCCGCCTCGCCGCTGCCGTGGGGCTATCGGAGGCATTCGGAGGGCCTTGGGATGTTTTTTATTCATTCCACGCAAGATCAGCGGCAGTGTTCGGAGGGGGAAGCGTGATTCTCGTGACGTCGGGCCTCGTGGTCAGGAGGGCCAAGTCTTGAGGTTCGAGGTTTTCTGACGTTTTCCGTCGCCTCTCGGCGGTTTCCCATCCTCAGGGTGCCTTCCAGCGGCTGCGCTTCGCCGAAAGGGTTCCAGGTGCCCAGATCGTCCCGAGTGGCCGCTGGAGGCCCGATTGATGAACCGAGAGCTACCAGTCGTCGACGAGGTCAAGGGCAGCGCTAGGGGGGGACAGGCTCAGGGGAGATCGCATTGACCCCGAATCGCCAAGTCATCGCCGACTGGGATCTGATTGCACACCCCGCCCAGGAGCGTGCGGATTTGCTATCGCGGACCTATCTCTGACTTCCCGACGATGTATGATGGCCGATTCATGGACGATGTTCCCCTCCCCTTGAGCTGCTCCCCCCAAGGACTCCCAGTGATGAGAGTGGCCTTTCGTCAAGGTGACTTCCCGTGTGGGCCCACGTGCCCCTGATCGTTGAGCGCGACGCGACGGCCGCGGCTTACGCGTTTGGGTGGGTTTGCCCGCCCCCCCCATGCGCAAGGCGGTGAGGGGGGGGGACGAACCCCCCCCGCCCTTGCTCGTCGTCGTCAGGGGGAAATTCGACCCCCCCCTCTTGCGCGGAGGGGTCGGAACCTCCTCCCCCTCCGCCCCCCGCCAGGGTGCCCCAGTTACTCTTGTCTTAGGTTTCTCCAAAAGCTTCCGGGAACCAGCGATGAGGGGCGGCGATCCTCGTCGTCGTCGTCGTCGTCGTGGTTGTTGTTGTCGTTCTCCCCTTCTTCCTCCTTTTCCTCGTCTTTCCCCCCCCCCCCCCCCCTCCTCCTCCTTCTCCTCCTCCTCCTCCTCCTCCTCCTCCTCCTTCCGTAGCCGTTTTGGCTCGAGATGATGATGCCTGCGGCGTCCTTCATGGATACCGCTAGTCCGCGGCCAGACCCCAAAAGCTCGTCGAGCACAGCTCCGAGCACTTCATATCCGCCGTCGAGCCAAGCTCCGTGCTCTACACATCCGCCGTCGAGCCTAGCTCCGAGCATTTCATTCCCGTCGAGAACGTTGCCCGCACCGAGACCAGCCTGCAGCTTCTCCGCCAACCACGTATTGGCACCGCACCCGCCCTGGACATTGGACAGCAGTACAGCAGCCACTTACTGGACTTGCCCTACCTACCGCAACAATCTCGTCAAGCAGTGAAGAGAGATCTACGTCTCGCAGCGCACCGTCACGCAGAAGGAAAGAACGCCGCCGCGGACGCCAAAACAAAGATCGGGATGATAAATGTTGCCGTGCCTCCGCCGCCAGGGCCACACTCGACGCCATGGGTGAAGCTGGCGTCGCCTCGCAACTCGTACGTGCTTCAGGGAGAGCATCGGCGCCGCCTTCTCGTCCTGGTCGCTCGTCAACGCGCCCGTCTACTCCCCCAACGTTTGCGATGGATGCCGACGACCTTCTACACCGCGGTGATGTCGCTCGCCACGCAGCGGCTGCCCCCGAGCAAGCACGCGATGGACAAGGGAATGCCCCGCTTTCCCAACTACTTGCAGTCGAGGCAGCACCAGCAGCAGGAGGACACCTACGTGCAGACCCACTGGCAGGAGCTCGTGACCCTTGGCGTGGCCAACAAACCGCTGGACGAAAGTCCGCCGTCGGAGCCGCCGCCGACCTTCATGGCGGAGACATGCCAGCCTCCATCGAAGCCGCAGGAAGAACAGCCACGCCTGGATCGTCCCCAAGCATCCCAGGTCTGTCTCCTGATGCCGAAGCTGCTCTTCAACAAGTCATGCAGACTCAAGTCGAACACGCCGCCGCCACCTTCCAAGCTCAGGCCAACGCTCTACTCAACGAATCACGTGAAAGCTTTCGTCAAAGTCTCGCACAACAAGTCATCGCTACCGAACGCCGAGTGGATACCCTACATGATGCAGTCGCCCGCACACGCCGTGAACAAGACCGCCAAGCCGACGAGCAGAGGAAGATGTGGCAGCAGATCGATCAGATGCGTGACGCGCTCGCGCTCGCTGAAGCTCAGGCGCCCATCGCGGACCTCACCAAGCTCGCTGACTGGGACCGCGCCCCCGACCCGACCATCTTCTCCATCGGCTGCCAGCGCCTCATCGCGCCCGACATACTGCTCAACGACCTGCAGGAGTGGATCGCCTCCGCCAACGTGGACCGCAATGCCGTGGAGTTGCTGGGCGACGAGCCGTCCAGACGCTTCCTTCTTCAAGTCAAAGGAGATCGTGCAGCCGCAGTCCCGCGAGCTCTCTCTCTTTCACGCGCCCTTCGAGATCCTGCTGGCAGGTGGAAGCGCTTTGAGTCCACCGACGCGACAGGAGCCCGAGTGGATATCTACCTCAATCCCGACAAGTCTCCCAAGCAGATCCGCACCGAGATCCAGTGCAAGAAGCTCCGGCTACTGCTCCAGCACCGCTACCCTGACAAGCCATGGAGGGCCATTCGCACCAAGGGCGAGATCCATTGCAACGCCATGCCCGTTGTCCGTCTCGACGTCAAGGGCCAGGCCGACCCCGCCATCCTCGAGTGGAACGAGCACGCGTTCGAAGGCCACCACTCCAACGAAGTGGATCGTGGCGGCGTCCTCACCGCGTTCCAGGCGCTCTTCGCGGACACTGCGTCAGCAACGTGGCGGGTTTACCCGCCCCTGGTCGCCGCGGCGACCGACCGAGGACCCCGTCCCCGGCACCTTCATCACGTGGAATGCCAGAGCCCTCATGTGCCACAAGCGCCAGCGCCGCCGCCGCAAACAGGCTGCCCTGTCGAAGTGTATGCGCCGCCACTGCGTCATCCTCCTCCAGGAGGTTCACGGCCCGGAGGCCCTGCTCCGCACGTGGGTGGACACGCAGCCGTACCCGTACAAGCTCTTTTTCTCCGAGTTCGTCGGCGGCGATGACGTCGAGGCCCGACCTGGCACTGGCGGAGTTGCTACGTTGGTGCCCTGGCTCACGCCCATGCAGCTCGAGCAGCTTGCTCCGCACCAACTGCCTACCTGCGCCCGCGACGAGATCGTCAAGGGCCGCGTCCAGACCGTCTCCGTCACCAATGCCGTCGCGAACAACTCCATCGTCATCATGCACGTCCATAACCACAAGATCGACGCTCGCGGCCGCGACCGAGTGCAACGTGCTTGGCGTCAGCATCGCACCTGGGCCGAGGCCGACTACCAGCACCGCACCTTCATCGCCATGGGGGACTTCAGTACTGCCAGCCGCCCGCCGAACAGCTTCCTGCAGCCCCAGCCACAGCGCGTGCGCCTGGCGCTGGACAACAGCGCCCGTCAGCAGCAGCCTTTTCTGGAAAGCGCTCTTCGATTCCATGCTCGAAATCGAATCCGACTTACCGACCCGTTTCAACAAGTCCGACTTCTCCGCCTCAGCGATCGACCGCATTTTCATCAGCTTGCCATCCCATGCCATGCTCGAGCTCACATCGCAGATCAACATTGTACACGATCCTGCCACCCTGTCAGACTCCTTCCTCAGCGACCATGCGATCATCTCCTACACCATCGGCATCAAGCCGCGCACGCCGACGAACGACCAGGCGATTCCCCCTGCGATCTTCCGCGACCCGAACTACGCCAAGTACCTGGACCAACTGATCACCCACACCAAGACTCAGCACGTTCCCATACAGAACCGCTGGCGCTCGCACAAGCGTCTCATTGTCGAGGCCGCGAGGCTCGTCCGCGACGAGTGGGCCAGCTCCACCGGGGATGGCAACAAATCCAACCAGGCCGACGGACGGGTCCTCACGGCGCGTTCGATTTCACGCGCGGTCTGGCGCCAGGATGTGGCTCTCGCTCGTCGCCTTCAGTCCGCCACCGAGCTTGGCGCCAAGTACCTCTCGATTACCGGCGGCCTCATCGCGATCATCAACCAGCCCGAGTTCGCTGACATGTCAGCCTCGCTCCACCGCGACTTCGAGGCTCGGCGACGCTCTCTGGCGCAAAGAGCTGCCCAGCGCCCCCCTGGCGCGGCAGGGGCCCTCGAGCCCGAGAAACTCCGTCGTATCTTGCGCGCCCCGCAGAGGCGGGCTCTCCTTTGGGCCCCCCTGGAAGCGTCGTCTGGTCCTCCAGGGCATCAGAATCTCGGGCCCAGATGGCCCCCCTGGGGTCGCCAGAGAGAGCTGCGATATGGCGGACGCCCTTCGCACCTACTGGAAGCCCGTCTTCGCGCACAAGCTCGTCGATCCCGTCAAGGTCACGCAGTGCATCTCCGAGCACATGCCGCTGGGCGCCGCCATCGACGTGGGCGCGCCGACCAAGAGGCAGATCCGCGCCTTCCTGGCTCGCACCTCGCCGTCGGCTCCTGGACCTGACTGCCTCCCATATCGCGCCTGGCTCGCACGCGACTCGTCGCTGGACCTGCCCGAGGACCTCTCGTTCCACCTCTGCTCGAACGCTAACTTCATCCACGACCTGAACGACTCTGACTTCGCCTTCTTGCCGAAAGGGGACCACCTCGTCGGCGAGATGCAGACCGACAGGGTGCCTGAGGACACGCGCCCGCTCTCGCTCAAGAACACTGATATCAAGGCCATCGCTGGTGCCGCCAACTTCCTCCTCAAACCCGCTGTGGCAGAGCGGGCTCACAGGGCGCAACAGGGTTTCGTAGTCGGCCGCAACTTCGCCAAGCACATTGTCATTCTTGACGCCAAAATGCGCCGCGCTGGGTTACGCCCCGATGCCGCTGATCACCACCCTGTCTTCACCAGCTTCGACTTCGCGGCGGCGTTCCCGTCTTTGGGTCGGGCCTGGCTCTTCGCGGCGCTCGAGCGCTTCGGGGTGCCCATCGGCCTCATGAGCCTCT